TATTAAGGAATTCCTTAATTCTATATTGCTGGGGATCCAAGATAACTTCACTATGTCCATGAATTTGCAATTTCCATCTTCGTACTATACAAGTTTTACTGTACAAATTACATTTCTAAAATATAGTGATTTTCCAATTCTGTTCGATTTAAGTAATGTAAATTTAAGAATTTTTCAAATTTTTGAAATTTCTTCCATGTACTCTTAAATATTTAAAATTTTTACTTTGTTTACATCAAGTGTACCAATTAATATATACTTTCCCAATACTTCCCTTTAATAATGTATATATAGTTGTGGTATCATTAATTTTTTTTCCCTTACTGATGATTTTTTTTCCTATATCTACCACTCACCACGTCCGTGAGAGTACGTTGGTGTTGTCTACGTATTCCCCCCACATGCACACCTCTCCACCAATCACAAGCTTCTTCTGCTCAGCGGTTCCTATAAATTGGGGTTGATATATCAGTCACAGATGCACCAAAAGTTGTATACATTTGTATTTAGGTGTATATTCAAAAATGCACTTGAGTTACTGTTTGTGCAATTTTTAAGTTAACTTTATGAATTTCGTACTACTTTTAATAGATTGTAATGATTTTAATGGATTATAATGAATTTCATTTCAAGAAAAACAATGAAAAAAAGACAGCAAACCAAGAAAAAATAACTTTAACAGAATTGCAATGCAGAGGAGAAAACATGCTGCAGACTAGCATTTACACTAATAGTCTTGAAATTCAATACTGATTTGACTAACATGCATAATTTCATAATAGCTGAACAACATATCATATTTTATTTTTACTGTATATTATCAAACTTGAATTTGCTTAAATCTTAGGGGAAACCGTACAGATTAAACTAAATAAGGAACAATGTTTTTATAAGTGTTGTGTACTAGCACTTTTTCAACAATGCTGAATAATAGAGTACTTACTTCTATTTTAAATTCTCAAGTTCAGTACAATTTACTGTAGATCACTAAATTTTCGCGACACCTATTTTCGCGTGATTGTCATTGACTCTTTGTAAGCGAGACATAATTTTCACGAATAGTTGTTATTTCTCTATATAATCGCAAGGAATACTTTTATAAGCGAGAATTAAATTTTCGCGAACGCATAGTCTCGCGTAATTACGCGAAAATAAAGTTCTCGCGAATAAAAAGTGATTTACAGTAACTGAATACAAACACATTTGCCAAATTTTTGTTGTTTTTTTTTGATTTGTTGAGATCCCCCTCCCTCCCCTTTTAAAAAAATGGATGAGATCAACAAAAATTCAAATCCATTTTGATTAATCAGATATATTTTAATTTTTCTAGGAACATAAGAAAGTTTGAAATCTGAGTAATTATACATTGTTTGTTATATCGTCAAGCTAACTGGTGGGAAACACTAAAATTTACGATCATACTAGACATTAACTGAATTACAAAGGCAACAAGGCATTATTTATATCATACCATTGAAGTTATATGGTTCACATGTGTAATATTTTTGCCAGTCTGATCCGTAGGAGATGTAGTTAAGATACCAACAAGAGGATAGGAGAGTTTTGTAACCAAGGGCCGTAACTTTGCTCATTTCTGCCTGGTAGCCTCCCTTCCAAACCTCTACAACTGTGTCTGGTTGAACCTTTTTGTGAAATTTAGATATTACAATTAAAAATTTAGGCTGCTATGAAATTATTTGTAAACTTAAAAGAGGAGAGGGTCTTTTTCAAGCTTGCTGGTATTCAGGTGCATAGTTGTTTGTGGCATCCTAAGCCAAAAAAAAAAAAGTTTCAATACTATTTTTTTTTTTACAGATTTGAATGAATTTTTTATTAATTATAACTTCAATGGTAGGATGGTTAGTAGTTCTAAGAGATTAGTAAGTCAAAAACAAAAACCATATAATGCATTTGAAAATTTAAGTACTTGCTAGTACCAAAAAAATCATCTGGGTCACAATTGTAATATTTGGGCCAGTCTATTCCGTAGGATATGTCATTGAGATACCAACATGAGGACAGAAGAGCTTTATAACCAAGGGAAGTAACTTTCTTTAGTTCTTGTAGATAGCCATCCTTCCAAACCTCCACAACTGTATCTGGCTTAACCTTCAGAAATTCAACACTCATTCAAAATAAATATGCAAGGGATACACAAAAGTATTAATTAGTTTCATATTGTTGTGTTTTTTTTTTCAATTGATGATGAACACTTGTAAAAATACTCTACATGTATTGTGAATAATTGCCTGTTTTTTGCAAAATCAATATTTGCATTGTAATGAATTTCCTATGAATTTGGGAGGACAGTTTTAAAGTAAATTTGGTTTCATGAAAAAGGAAATATTCTCTAAGATTACTGGATGAACTTCAATGGTATGATATATATTTCATCCTTGCTCATGCTCATTTAAATATATTTTTCAATAATGGCATGCCTCATGCATCTTTTTTTTTTACAAAAAAAAATCTAGCATGTTTATATAACATTTTGTTAAAAATAGGGGAATGTCAGATATCACATGAGTTTTTTTAATGACAGATGCATAAACCTGGAAAGTAGAATAACTGCATATGTTGATGTGAATAAGACTTGAAATAAATAGCCTTAACAATTAGAAAGTCAGTATTACGTTAATTTTACCTTGCAATTCGTTAATTGAAGGCAAAATGCTACTAGATACCAAAGCTACAATGCATAACAAAGTGTTGAAGAGTATCAGTGAAGAAAGTCAAACCAAAACAGAAAACAAACATGTAAAGCTTCTGAAAATCATACCAATGAAATTATGGGGATCGCAGGCATAGAAGGCCTGCCATTGGACGCCATACTTAATAATGTCTAAATACCAACAGGCCTGTAGCAGAGTCCTATAACCTCTTAATGTGGCTTCAAACACATGGAGCATGTAGTTCTCATTTTTATATATCTCTACAATTGTGTCCTTTGATATCTGTTCATGGAAGAGGAAATATAACCAAGTAAGAAAAGAGAGAAACCAAGTGTGACAACTCTCTACAAGTTTACAAGCTTTGTCCGCCACTACATTTGATCTTAAAGACAACTTATTAAAAAGCTATTTAAGCTACACCTAAGACTGACTTTGTTTTTATGTACAGATTCTGAAAGAAACTGGATTTATGTTACTTTTGGACATTACAAATTTAATGACACTTTGACACCCACCCACCTCCCTTTTGCACAGAAGAAATTGTGAAATACAACTACATTCAAATCATTTTTTGGCTTAGTCATCTATAGGTTGAAAACCTTCCTTATATGAAACATCAAACATGTTGGTATTTGCATACACATACGAGTTTTGAATTTGCAAACTTTAAGGAAAGGATTACCATTATGCAAAGATGTAAATCATGCCAGAAAGAATGTACACAGCATTTATCAGTTTAATTGTCAAGGCTATCAGAATTCAAACATGGAAAACTGCATGCCCAGGAAAACTCAAACCTTAAGTAAGAAAGTGAGTAGAAAACAATAATCCATCTTGAACCTAGTCCTGTGATTGTGCTTTAGAAGCGTGTGAGTTTGGTGTGTTCTACTGTTTGTGTTGTTTTAGAGGTGCATCTATTTTTCATTTAAAATTTGTGCATGTGTGTGTGTGTGTCACTTAAGTCTTTATTCAAAAAAGTCTAATCGAGCTAATTTTGCAGGAAATGATTAAAATATGTGTTATAAAAGAATTATACATGAAACTTTTGTATTAGAATGAAAATATTAGAATGGCTAGTATACTTCACATTAATATTAAATAAAAATTAAAAAAAAACATTAGAAAGGAAAATGCAATGCATCTAAGTTAGAGGAGAAGTGTATACATTTAATGCTCCAGTAATGAAATCCATACCATTGAAGTTTCCTGGGTCACAGGCATAAAAGGCCTGCCACTGAACACCATATTTGATTAAGTCTAAATACCAGCATGCTTGAAGAACTGTCCTATACCCTTTAAGTGTTGTAAGGTACACATCAAGCATGTAAGCTGAATTTCTATAAATCTCTACTATTGCTTCCATTGGAATCTGTTAACACACAGGAATATCATTGAATATTTCAGAAAACAACCTGTAGCATGTTCACATTATTCCCTTATGATAATTCATTATTCAATACTATTCTTAATTCATAACATTTTCTTCATAATAAATTTGACACTCAAATTTTCTCTAAAATACTGAAAACTTTTCTGTAACCATTAAATTTAAATGATTCCAATTGCTTTGTGAATCCATTAAATATTGAGATATTTGATGATAAAGGTCAAGCATGATTTCGGAAATATGACCAATGATCCGACAGACAAAGCAAGTAAACTTTAGAGGGATACTTAATTGTCAGAAATCATGACAGTTACATCAAATGATTGAAGTTAAAATGTTCCTATGTCAGGATTCTTACCTTGGCTCCATTATCCACTACTTCTTGCCAGATCATGTAGCCTTTCTTTAGCCCACCCACAATATCCAGCAATCTACAAACAACCAAGAGAGGTTTTTTTCATATATTTAATACAACGACCTTCTAAAAACAAAGAGATTTTTGTCCCATCTGCAATAAATTTATAACCATTGGAGGTTATTCTTTTTAACAGATACACAAATTTTAGGTATAAGTACAGTCTATTACATTTAACAGTGCATGTATGTAGGAAGTGAAAAGATGTGCAGCCCTGCTCTTAATCAAAACAACGTTGTAGAACAAATCTTTCTGAAAAATGATTATTCTTTTAGAAGATAATATTTACTCTCAAAAATAACCTGTAACTGACATTCACCTTTGAACATAATATTCTTCTAGCTT